CATATATATATGTAACTATTTTAAATTATTAATAAAGATATAAGCAAGGCCTTACCTTAATATCAAAAAAAAAAAAATAAAATAAATAAAAAAATAAAAAATATAAATTAGAGTATGGTGACCTAGTAAAGTGGATAGGTTGTCAACCCTCAAGTGGCAGATCTAAGGTTTAATTTCCACAGATGATGAATTTTGAAAATTATACTTGTGTTATGGTAACTATCTCTTGCTGATCGGTTGGATTTTGGGCATCTGTAATCTTAGATACATCAAGTCAGATCCTACCTGACATTGGGAGCTCGAGGCATCTATGCGAAATGTAATGTTATACAGTACATGTACATAGAGGAATGTAAAACTGGTGTCATATAAGGCTTTAGGCAAATCCACAATAAGACCACCAGGTGTAGAAGGCTAAGAAACTGAAGAGATGAAAACTCACTTGGAAATCCTGAGTAAAGAGGTAACACAAACTTTCAATAGTGTCATTGGACTGATGGAAGCTCATGAAACACCTTCATAGGAACTGTCAGATAAACTGGATGACAAAAATGTGTAAAGGAGTATATGACCAACCAGGCCACCAGAATCACTGAAGAAAAAAGGATACATAAGTATACCATACCAGGCCATCTGGATTGGGAGTTTGGGAAGTCAGTTAGTTTCAAGTTGTGGCTAGTAGGAGATGATAGAGAAGAATTTGAAAAGATGAATACTAGAGTTTAGATGAACTTTACAAGGGTAATAGCAGTTTAAGAGGTAACCCTAACTGCAAGTGTTGGCCTTAGTCATAGCGTCAAATCAGGTTAGTGATAAAAGGGAATACAGCTCGCTCTGGTAGATTTATCTCAAGGATAAAAATAGTCTAAGAATTATAGTCCTATGGTTGAATGCGAATAGATCCAGGTTTGTGACCTGGTAAAATTAATACTAGGATTAGATCAGAGAGTTTAAATGAAACACCTAAGCAAGGATGTTAGGTATGGCAACTAGTAGGAAACTCTCAGACAGACTCCTTAAATAGGTAATATAGAAAAGTTACACATATAGCCAGTTGTACACTCATCTAATAGTTTATTATAGATACGTCTATATAAAACATGTACCTGCTATAAGTATTAATAAAAAGCTCAGACCAAAGAGGTCACCTTAATATCGAAAAAAAAAAAAATTCATAAAAACATAAATAGTTTATTTAAATAGTTTATTAATAAAGTCATAAAAAAAAATAATTCTAGTTTTTCAGCTAATCTCTGTTGTAAACATGTACTTTCTCCATTTTTGTAACTATTGAAAAAGCACAAAAACTATCACTATATATTAAATAATATATTTATTGAATTAATATTATAAGGATCTAAACCATGTACATAAAGAATTTACAGTATTTACCTTTTATGTTTTGTTCAATACAGAAAAATCATGAGACTGAATTGCAGTTGTTTAGCAAAGATTATTGTTGAATAGAATTTTTTTTTTTACTTAATCATAGCAAATAATCACTATATACTATTAAAATTAAAAGCAAATAAAATTAAATCCTTATAATTAAATCATACAAAATATAATTTTAATAACTTGCTTAGATATATAATGAACTCAAAGTATCGATCATTTTATTTTAAACCTTAAATCGAAGTAAGTGGACCTATTACTTATCTCTTACTTAATATTAATATATGATAATAGTTAAAAGTAAGTGATCATAACTGAGGTTAAGAGTAAATTTGATACTAAAAATAGAACAATTATAAAATTATTTACTATTATCTATTTGCAAAAAAATTAAATAATATTAAGTAATATCAGACAAGAATACATATCAATTTCGCTCATCTCTATTGATCACATAATTGGAAGATTTATTTGATTTTTTTATTATCTCTAAAATTTTTTGTTATACTTGATTTGTTTTGGTCAGCATAGTTGTAATATTTCATTAAATATATAAGTAAAAAAAATTTTTTAGAAGCTTTTTACTCTTGAACATGTCAATATGAATGAAATTTGCAAAACTATTATCTCTTAAAAAGGAAAAGTAAAACTAAATGTTCATGGTTTCTTGTTAGTTAAAGAACACTCTGTAGAAAATACTTATTACTGAAGCTATGAGAAAAAAAGATCTAAAAACTGTTCAGGCTGTGCAGTAACTATTTTTTCTAATAGTTTACATTTTCTTAAAAAAACTGCCAAGCACGAATACTCCTCTTAAGCAAATAGTAGTGAAGTGGCTGTAATAGTTGAACATATTAAATGACAAGCAAGAGAAACTCATAACTCACCTGCTCAGATTATTCAAAATAATATTGCTTCTGTTGATGAAAATTTGGTATCTAATATGCCTTCAAAGAATGCACTTTATATGAGAATAAAGCATATTAGAAGTTCTGAAATGCCTCCAAAACTTTAAACTCTTGATGAAGTCAATGTACCACTTCTATTTCAATATACTTTAAAGGAAGAATTGTTTCTTATTTGAAATTTACAAGTTGGACTAGGTTAGGTTCTTATATTTATAACTAAAACTAACATACAATGTTTGTCTCAAGCATCTTTTTGGGTAATGGATGAAACATTTCGAACTGTCCCTATAGTGTTTTGCCAGCTTTACACTATTCATGCTTCTGTTAGTTTAAGTGAAAACTCTCAGATCTTTTCACTCGTTTATGCTCTTATGAGCACTAAATCAGAAGAGCTCTATACACAGTTGTTTCAAGATCTAAATAACTTTGTGGCAGAAAATGAATTTATATTAAGACTGTTAAAGATTATCACTGATTTTGAAATTGCAGCTATTAATGCATCTTGTGATGCATTTCCAGGTGTAACAAACAAAGGCTGCTTTTTTCATTTTGCACAAAGTAGTTGAAGAAAGATACAAGAGTCAGACTTATCTGTTCAATATAATACTAATAATCATTTAAATTTGAAAATATGCCAATTATTTGCTTTGGCATTTCTACTACTAGCTGACATTCCTGCTATATTTGATATATTAAAAATAGAAATACCCTCTGAAGCAAGAAATATTATTTAATAGTTTGAGAAGTATTATAGTTATAAAAGAGTATGTTGAATATATCGAAATGGCAATATGTCATAAAGTGCACCTTTATTCTTTCTAACATTATGGTCTGTGTTTGATTCAGTCGAAGCTGGCATCCCAAGAACACAGAACAAGGTTGAAGCATGACATTGATGTTGGGATCTTTAATTGGTTGTGCATATATTGGAATCTACACAATAATTAAAGAATTTCAAAAAGAACAACATAATGTTGATAATAAAATTGAGAAAATTCTTCAGAGTAAGCAGCGATTACAGCAAAAAAAAAAATCAATTGATCATGAAAAATGAATTATGACTATATTAAATGACTGACCAAATCATACAGTTATGGATTTTCTTAAGATATTCATCCACAATATTGCTTTATAATTTTTTTTTTTTTTATGAAATAAATAAATTAGTAAAAGCATTACATAAAATATCACACTGACTTTTTCAAATCTTAGAATCAATTAACTTGAATACATAGAAGAGAAAAAGTATTACTGTAAAAAATAATTTTAGAATTTTAGATACAGTATTACATATTATGTATTACTTTATGCATAATAAAAATTGGTATAAGAAGTCATTTTTTTTAAAAAAAAAATTAAATAATAAAACAATAAAAGGATATTAATATATTAGTACTCTACAAAATTTTTATTGTATTTCAAGTTTAGTGATTATAATTGATATATTTATGCACTAGTATCTATTAAATTTTATTTTACTCTATATCAGCTACACATATATTTATTTATGCAAATAAAGTCCTTTACCAATCTATGTATTAAAAATAAAAGTTACTTGCTAGACTATTTAGTAATACTACATAATTCAATACTATACATAATTGCGCAGTTTCTAATTTATTTCAAAAATACAATAATTTATATCTTAAAACATTTGTATTTTTTTAACAGATTACCTTAAACTTATTAATAATAAAGAAGATTTTAACATAGTCATTAATCCTGAAGAATTACTGTTACTTAAAGTTTAATCTAAGCATTCTTATTAACATGAGTCTAAATCGAAATATTTTAAATTATATTTACATTCAACTAATTGCAACTAAAAAGTTGATCAAATTAATTTAAGATCTCTAACTTGAGATCATTAATTTAATCGAGATTATTACTTTTGAGATTATTACTTTTGAAATTAGTAATTTAGGATTATTACTTTTAGGATTATTATATTCGAGATTATTATATTCAGGATATTTTTCTTTTAAGATTATAATTCTTTGAAATTATGATTAATCGGAATTTTTCTTTTTCGTGATTTAGTTTTAAAATTAATGCACTATCGAAATTTAGATCTTTTAATATTCATATTTTATCAACTCTTTCCGATGATCACCTGGACCAAGTTGGCACCGAAAGTAGATTGAAGACTCTGGCTCCAAAGTGGATAATATTCTTAGTTTT